CAAAAGAAAATAAAGGCTACCAAGGTGGCTTCAGTGTCCCAGTGATGCCGGAAAACAAAGAAAGGCCAAAAGCAACTGACCAAAATTATAGTTTATTTTGAATGTGTCTGTTAATAACTTGTTTGCACACTATAAAAAAAATACAGATGATATTATTAGACCATGGGTGGGGTAACTGGGAAAGTATATCATGACTGTTAACTCAGAACCCTGTTAGCTCGCACACTGTAGGTTTGCATGCCCACTCCTGAGCCACGAGCTAAACCACGTGGGACCTCCAGCCTGGGCATCTCCCTCCTGTGACTGGTCCCGGTGGCTTTCTCCCTAGCTAGAGCCTGGAGCTCTTCTGGGGTTTTCATGACATTGACTAAATGACCCCCAAAATGGCCCTGCTGTAAAATTTTCCTGTCATAGTTTCCTTCCAGGCAGGTGTGGAAACTGAGGCACAGGGGACTGAAGTGATGAGACTGAGCTGATAGAGCCAGAAAAAAATAACGTCAAACCTAAGGCACAGGTGTCCTGTGAATGAGTCTGGGCCTAAGTGGCCCTCCTACTCTGTGAGGCCCTGCCCCACACCTGCAGAGCTGCCCCGTTATGGGGTACTGTTGCCCAGCTCTTGGGTCCCCTCTAAAACATAAGTGTTCTGCCCTCTCAGGCACAGAGATGGGCCCACTGCAGTTGCAGAGGCCATGGCCATGTCTATTTCCTTCTTCCTGTCCCCCAACACCCCATCCCCCACACCTACACACCTTGTCACTCATCTTCCTCTCTGTCCAATAGGAGAAATCACCACCACATCTCTGCTGGACCGAGAGACCAAATCTGAATACATCCTCATTGTGCGGGCCGTGGATGGGGGCGTGGGCCACAACCAGAAAACTGGCATTGCCACCGTGAGTACTTCCCTCCCCTACTGACCAGGACCTTCCTCCCTGCTTGCCTTCAGGCTGCCTCAGGCCTCTGCATACCATGCCACTTACTAGCCCTCAGGGGAGGCCCAGAAGCCCATCAAGGCCTCCACACTATAAAGGAGCCTCAAGGCAGAGGGAGAAATTTGGCAGGCGGTGGGGGCTAAGTGAGTTCCTGGTGGCAGAAGAGATGATGGAGAAAGTGAGGGGCACAGGGGGCCCCTAGGAGAGGAAGAATGGCAGTGGTGACCCATTGCTTTAGCCACATCTTCCCTGCTTCCTCATGCCTGCCTTAGGCTCATCCTGGAAGCCCCTCTCTTCACCTTGCCCCATGGTCCTCACCCACACTGGGAAGCTGTCCCATTCTTGCCAGGCCAGAGGATCTGGGCTGAAGTTGGAATCACTTGGTTGGAGCTGTTACAGCAAGCCCTGCCATGTGCACCCCTGTAGAGGCCAGCCCTGCTCATAGGAACCCCAGTCCAGCCCGTAAATAATTTACTGGTGGCACGTGAGCACAGAAATCCCTTGGCTTGTGGCTGAGACTAGGGGACTCAAGGGGTTCTCTCAGATCCCCCGACTGGGTGTCACCTTCATTGAGACCAGGTGGGTGAATTCATTCTCTGCCCCATCGTGGGACAGCACCTAAGCCTCCTCCTCAGGCAGGGACCTAAGTCCACTTTGTCCCTGACAATCTAGGCTCTCCTTGAAACGCCCAGAATGTCAGAGCTATTAGAACTAAGACCCTTGATTGCCCAAACCCTGCCCTTGCCCTCATTGGCCTCAGCGGACCACAGCACTCCCTGTGGCCCACAGGTGAACGTCACCCTCCTGGACATCAATGACAACCACCCTACCTGGAAGGATGCTCCCTACCACATCAACCTGGTGGAGATGACCCCTCCGGACTCTGACGTGACCACGGTAAGGAGAGACATAGCATGCGCCAAGATGGACGCCTTCTTACCGTGATCCCCTGGCCTGCCACAGGGACTCCTGAGCTTGGGGTTTCATTCTGAGCCAGCTCATGTCCTTTACTATCGAGTCTCTGCAGCCATTGGCCTGGTTAGCTCTGGCCCTTGTCAGCTCCCGGGGCTGCCTCAGCAGGGGGTTGAAGCTCACCCCAGGGAATCCTCTGGCAGAGGATTCCAGGCATTCACCTATCTGTCCTGTGTGTAGCTGCTGCATTCAACATATGTCTTAAAGTGGGAAAAGGTAACATAGCCAGAGACACTGGGCCCCAGAATAGAATCTGCTTTGCAAGAACAGCTGAAGACCGGCAGAGCCTGTTTCCCCCACACCGCTTGTTCTACCCAACACTCAGATTCACAGTTTTAAGTCTTTCTTCCCTCCACCTCTGAACCCCATTTAACCTCATCTAGGAAGGCTGGTCCCCAAATGTCTAACTAGCTGCCACCCAGGTGATTGAACACCTGTCCCGTCCTACACGACCCCAAGGGTGCCTCATGAATTCTCTCTCATCTTTGTGATACCTTCCCCTGGCAGCAAGACTCAGAGCTCAAGGGCCCTGGAGCTAGTAAGAGATAGCGCCGGGACTTGAACTCAAGCCTGAAGGCTTTTCAATAAGGACTTAGAAACTACCCGACCCAGCCCCTGTCCTTGTGTGGGCTCACAGAGGCCCAGGTCCTGACTGGGGCAGGGTCAGTAACCTTCTCATCAGGTCCTGAGAAACTACCCAACCTACACGCAGGCACCCTGGGGCCCTGGCTCACTCTTCAGTGTTCACACTCCTCACTAGCTAGAGCCTGAAGTACCACGGTCTATCTGGACCAGGTGGAGAGGACGGAAAACTGGAGAGAAGGACAGAGACGGGAAGGGAGTATGGTCATCACCTGTCTAGTGCTTCCCCCTGAGCAAGATCACATCCCCTCCCAGAGAATCGTACAGCAAGGCAGGGTGGGTGGTTTGGAATAAATTAATGGGTTTTCAAAGCCTGACTGCCCTGGCCACAGTTAGAAACCTCTAGCTGGGATTCTCCCAAGGGCCTCTCGGGCTCTGGGTCCTGTTGGCACTCTCTGCTGCCACCTTGTGGGCACCCTGGTGCTGGCTTGGAACTACCTCCTTGGAGTTCTCAATTTGGGATCCCAAGGGTTGCTGTGGAATGCCCACCTCTGAACACCTGTCTGTCCTTGTGTTTCTGAGAAGTTCCTCCTGAAGGAAATTGAGAGGCAAGTGAGGGGAGGTAGCTCTAGGGGGGACTGCAGAAACCGTCAGTGAGCATGGGCTTTGTGCGAGGCCCATGTCACCCTCGGCTCAGACTCACTACTGGCTCCCATCTTACACAGTATAAAAGCAAGGGTCAGGCTGGAGAGATGGTTTGGTGGTGAGAGTACCTGCTTTGTGAACATGAGGACCCAAGTTCAAATCCCAATACTCATAAAAATCTGGGTGTGGCTTTATACTCACATGCCTGTAACCCCAGCACTGTGACAGCTAGATACAGAATTGCAGGAGCTTGCTGGCCATCAGCCCAGCTCTAACTCCAGTGAAAAACTCCTGTCTTAGGGGAACGTGGCAGAGAGTGACAGAGCAGGACAAATATCACACACACACACACACAGGTGTGTGCACACACGCACCTGGAGCCTACAGGTCCATCCATGGTTACCTTGAACAGACAGATAGACGTGTATGCCCCCCCCAGACAGCATGACAGACACAGAGATGCAGCCCCAAAGTCCTCAGGAAGAAGAGAGTAAAATCAAAATTAAAAACTTGTTATATTAAATAACTGCCAAATGTAATATGCAGCTTTTATAATTAAGAAATGTAGGGTTTGTAGACATTTAATTACATGGAAAAATGAATTCTAGGTTAGCTTCTCTAGAATTAAGAGTGTTCCAGACTTGGTAGAATACCCAGCTGTATATGATGCGTGCCAAGAAATCAAGTGGCTTATATGTTACTCAAGTTGGTCATAGAAGAGTCATTGCAAGAGGAAATCACCATAGCAATTCTTTAAGTTTTGTACCCCTGAAACATACCTGTGGGTGCACAGCAATTCCTTTTGGAAGGCCCCTGTCATTCACACTGCATCCTCCAGATATTCCTGGCCCACCTGATTCCAAGGATCTCCTGTCTCTGCATCCATCTTGCCCAGAGAGGGCTGGCATCATGAGCTTTGGCTTGCAGCGTTCATGTGGGTTTAACTGAGTATCTGAACTTGGGTCATCAGGCTTGAGTGGTGACTGCTTTGCCTGCCGGGCCATCACCCCAGCCCCTAGTGTCAGGTTGTGATTAGTCAGGATGCCGGAAGCTCTAGGACCTGGCAGCTGCCACTCTTAGCAGTTGCCTCTCCCCGCAGTCTTCTGGTCAGGGTCACTGTGGGGCTTAGTGAGGCAGATTGTAGCTAAGCAGTAGATCTCAGATACTTGCGGTTTGCTGTGCCCAGCCACTGGGTTGGTGAGGTTTGCCTCATCCTCACTCACCCTCCAGCTCTGAACCTGGGCTGGTTCTTCCTCATCTGGGCTGGAGAATCCATTGGAGGCCTGGGACCCTCCCAGGGGCCATTTAGCATAAACACCAGCCAGGGCTCCAGAGCCCAACTTGATAAAAACTAAGGATTTTTCAGAGTCCATGGTAGATGAACTTGTGCCCGTGTGTTCCTTTGCTCAGTGCCCTCGGAGCCAGCAGAGTGTGTGCCTCTCTGGGCCTCAGTATGCAGGACATGTGGACTGGGGGAGGGGGGAGTGTCTTCCCGATGCCTCTCTCATCTCCCCTTCCCCCCCCCCCCCGCCCCGCAATGAGCTTGGGCCCCACTCTCCCCGCTGCCTCTGTGGCCTCCTTCAAGGACCTGCTGATGGGCATTGATTTAGAGCCTTTCAACGCCCTCCAGCAAAATAAAGAAGAGGGAGAGAGAGAATTATTCTCCGTCAGGTGAGAGAAAAATGACGAGCCTGGAATGGGAAATAAATGAGGGGAAGTGGCTGGAGCCCACAGGCTTGCCCGGTGGGAGCCTCCAGACAGGGTCTTAACCTCTGCCCTCTCCCAGGCTCCCCTACCCACCCTTTGACCAGAGAGTTGCTGAGAGGCCAAGGCCTGTGCCTACTCCCAACCAGGGCATGGGGCGGCTACCTGGACATCCTCTGCAGGGGAGTGTCTTCCTCACTATGAAACTGGTCTCACATTCTGATGTGGGTTGTTTTGGCTCCAAGTCTGGGGAATCTAGGGGAAAAAGGAAATGGGGATAAAGAGGCCTGTTCCTCCTGTAACTGTAGAGACACACACTAACACAAGGGACACTTGCTTTCCCTGTCCCTCGGCAACTCCATGCAGCCTGGCTTGGATTATGCCTGGAATGAACTATCCCCTATTATAAAACAGGATGGAGGGGCCCCATTATGGGGACTGGAGACAGGAGGTGGTATGATCACAAGACAGTGAAAGAATCAAGGACAGGAAGGTGGGGACCCCTTGTCACCCCTCTGCTACTACAGGGCTGGGGAGAGTTCAGGATAAGGTGAGTCTGGTATGAGATGCCCATGCTGAAGATCTCACTGGAAAAAGAATTGCCCTGTAAGCCTCTCTCCCTGGCTCCCAGAGATGGTGACATGTGGAGCCCCTGGCCAGATATCTATCTGTTCTGGTCTAGTGACCCCAGAGACACCTCGGCTGGGGATTAAGCCAGAGCGGGGACAAATTCTGCTGCCAGAGCATAAAAGCTCACACCAAGTGAGACAGAGGAGCTGACCAGCCCTGGCTGTCATTGCCCCCGTGTCGTGAAGTTAATGACATTGTCCTGATGCAGCCCCTGGGACTACAGCCATCCTTTCTCCCTCCCCATCCCCACTCCACCACGATCCTGTCCACCTCTGATGTCATCATGGTTCTGCAACACAGAGGGATGGTGGATTGAGGGATGAGAGCCACAGCTGTCTCAGGACTATGGGAGACTGCCAGAGAGCTAACAAGGGTACCCCAAGGCTGGTGCTATGTGACCTTGGGTCTGGCTCACGCATCTCTAGGCTGTTTTTCCCTACAAACTGGGACTCAGCTAATGGCTCCCTGCCCAGGCCTTGGTGTCACAGAGGCCCAGTGTCGGAGGGACAGAGAAAGGGCCTTGTGATAACAGACCTAGATTCCACGACTCAAATCCTCCCCAAAGCTCAACAAAGGTTTCCAGCCTTTCCCTGCTCCCAAGCCTAGAACTTCTGATGCCCCTGCTTCCAACTCCTGAGTCTTAGGAAATGAGTGGGTACCACCATTTTCAGGGTATGTGGTACTGAGAATGGAACCCAGCCAGGGCTGCATACATATAGGCAGGCACTCTACCAACTGAACCACACCCCCAGCCTCCCTCCTACTTTTATACATGGGGAAGCCAGACTTGAATAAGAAAGGGGCTTCCATATAGTTGGCTGATAGATGAAGATGCCAGAGAACCCAGATTTTGAGACTGATAGATCTCATGCCCCTTCCCACTTTCTGTTCCTGTCAAGAGAGCCCACTTCCTGCTCCTGGACCTGGGCCAGGGACTTCAATGTAACTCAGTAAAAGGTCTGTTCCTTCCTGGGCAGGTGGTAGCTGTGGACCCAGATCTGGGGGAGAATGGCACCCTGGTGTACAGCATCCAGCCCCCCAATAAGTTCTATAGTCTGAACAGCACCACAGGCAAGATCCGTACCACCCACGTCATGCTGGACCGCGAGAACCCCGACCCCGTGGAAGCTGAGCTCATGCGCAAGATCATTGTCTCTGTCACAGACTGTACGGACTCCTGCACCCCCGCCTCTGAGCTCCCCCATAGGCAGAGGCTCTTGACCTTTGGGGATGCCCCCATGGGTGGTCCTTAGGGGTCCCGGAGCCCACTCAGGAGGGCTATCTCACCACTAAGAATAAATGTTGTATACATCCCAGATGTGACCCCCCCCATGGCACCCTGCAATAGGGAGGGGTTGGGAAGGGACACATGGCTCAAACTCCTCCTTACAGAGACACCTGGGATGGGAGGGGGTCTGTATATGCCTCCCTTTCTTCATCATTTTTCTCTTACACCCATCTTCCCATCCCTGCCTCCTTCCTCCTTGTCCTTCCAGGTGGCAGACCCCCTCTGAAGGCCACCAGCAGCGCCACAGTCTTTGTGAACCTCTTGGATCTCAATGACAATGACCCCACCTTCCAGAACCTGCCTTTTGTGGCTGAGGTTCTGGAGGGCACCCCGGCAGGGGTCTCTGTCTACCAAGTAAGTGTTACTCACTCACCTAGCCCCTGTGTGTGCTCCATGCCAAGCATTTTCGTCAAGGCAAGGGATACCAATCAAGACCCCCAGCAGTATGTAAGCCAAGCAGCCTGGGAGCACTGGTGCTGAGATGGTCTGAGAGGCCCCTGGGGACAGAACCTTGAGCTAAGTCTGGAAGAACAGTCAGATTTGGAGAAACAGAGGTACTGTGTCACAGGTGAGGATGAGGAGCAGAATGAAGCAGGAACAGAAATCAGGAGGGTGGATAGAATTCTGGGGATCTGACCCAGAAAGTACCCCAGTATTTGGAGGTCTGGGCTCAGAATCCAATGCTGCAAGCTTCTAGAACAAACCATCAGACGTGTGGCTCAGCATACCTGTATAAGAGCCCCCACCTCCTGTGAGCCCCCAAGTGGCTCTGCATAGAACCGAGAGTCCTCCCACTAGGAAAGAAGCTTTGAAAAGACTTCCCAACTCCCCAGGGCCTAGAAGAAGTAGGGAGGCCCTGAAGACACTGATTCAGAGGCTGTGATGTCCTACCAGAAACATCTTAGGAACTCTGCAAAAGCTTCACGGTTAAGACTGTGGCCTTTCGAGCTGGGGTGGGACCCGTGGTAGAGTACTTTCCTAGCATGAGCAAGGCCCTGGGTTCCAACCCCAGGCCTCACAAGAAAGGTACTGGAGTCCAAGCAGTATGTGTACACTCAATTCTACCACTATTGCTGTGTGACCCAGAGGACATTCTTCAACCCCTCTGAGCCTCAGATTTTCTCACTTGTGGGCTGGAATAGCTGTAGCGCCTGCCTGGCTATGCTGAGGATATGCAGCAGGGAACCCACAGCAGCTGTGGAGTTTGTTGTATGTGGTGTGGCTTATGCATGAGACAGTGGGATCACTTGTCCCCATTCCAAGAAGGCAGGGCTGTTTCTTAGGACACCAGAGTACAAGACCTTGGCCATGCCTACTGGCTCTCTGTGCCTGCCCCTCTAAGAGGAGATTGATAAGGTGTTTGATCCCTGAAAAATGGGGACATTCTCCCAAGTTCCCTGCAGGGGGAGCCTCCGCCTCCACCACAGCAGCCAATCCCCAAGGAGAAATCCCCAAAGGAGGTAGGAGCAAGAGAGTAACCAATCTTGAAAGTGGGAGGCAGGGGTGGCTTTAGGTTGGGAGGGAAAGAGAAGCCTCCTGGGCAGATTTTACAGGAGTAGCTCAGCACCACAGGGGGAGGGTTACAAGAACTGGGAAAATGTGACAGGGACACCTCAGACTCAGGAAGAGGTTCCTCCTACTTAAGCTGTGCCCCCCCCCAACCCCTCCTAGGACCTCAACCAAGAAAGAACTCTGCTGAATGTGTATAAGGACTTTCTTCAGGGATTAGACCCAAATAAAGTCAAAGCTGAGCCCCCATCCTGTAAGGCATTCGAGAAGCGTGGCAAAGCCTTGTTTGTTCTTTGCACTAAATGGGGCCATTGTCTTCCAACGGCAAGAGTCTTGCTCAAACCACAAAGCTCTTGTTTTCGCTATGGTCGTGCGCTTTTCTCCAAGTTCTCAGGTGTGATCCTGTGAAATTCTCAGTGTACTGGGGTCTTGTGCTGGGGAGCTCACTTACCAGGGCTGGAATTGCCAGCGAGAACCATGTGGGACCCTGGGAGGGGCTTTGCCTGGCTTCACCACAGATGAAGTATACAACAGGAAGTCGTCATGTGGCTTTAGAGAAAAGTCCTGATGTCTTTTTACTCTTATCTCTATTTTGACTCATAAAGCAGAGAGGGGAGCTGACTCTGGAGGCTGCAAAGCCAAGGCCCGGGAGATAAAAGGGTCTTTAGGCTGAGGGATACTGCCAGTCGGCATTGCAAATTCTGGAGGATGAGGAAAGCCTCTGGACTGTGGCAAGATGGATCCCAAGGCCTGCTGGAGGCCTGGAAGGGCTTCCTGAAAGGATAGCAAGTCTTGAAGGGCCAAACTTGGGGGCCTGGGTCTGGTCCTAGCAAATCCTTCCACCCTGGTCTCACTTGGTACATTTGCACTGGAGATAATCTGAGAAGGTTCCAGTCCTGACATCCTGCCCAATGGAGGCTGCCCAGGGGACAGTAGCCAGCCCAAGGTTCACAGGGGAGCAAGTGTGTTTGATGAACTGAGCTCTGGTTGGTAGGAAAGGAGAAGTTACTCCCAGAAAAGCATTCAGCCTGGCATCCCCCCTCACATAGCCTCTCCTTCCCCCCAGGTGGTGGCCGTCGATCTGGACGAGGGCCTGAATGGGCTGGTGGCCTATCGCATGCAGGTGGGCTTGCCCCGCATGGACTTTGTCATCAACAGCACCAGTGGTGTGGTCACGACCACAGCCGAGTTGGACCGTGAGCGCATCTCCGAGTACCAGCTGCGGGTGGTGGCCAGCGATGCAGGCACACCTACCAAGAGCTCCACCAGCACGCTCACCATCCGCGGTAAGTAAGGGATGCCTCCTGCTAGGAGCTGGGTCTGGGACAGTACCAGCCCTACACTAGCCACAGGGTACCTGCTCCAGTGGGAAGCCAAACAGCCCCATCCTGATTGTCTCTACTATATTCAAGATGCTAGTTGAGCTTTGTCCCTACCTGACCACTGCCTCAAAGCCCAGAACCCCACCAAGGCCTCCATCCCTCCTACTCTCCCATCACAGCATCTATAGAGAGGGCCAAAGCTGACCCTGGGTCCCCAGGGTTCCCAGCAGGCTGTCATCTTCAGAAAGCCGGTGTTTTCTCCGAGGTAAAGGAGACTCCCCATTCTGTGGGCATGGAACCATAGAACTTCTCATAAAAGGGTATGGCTATGGTGGAAAGAAGTTAGCTAGGAGCCTCCACTCCCAGATTCATCACCCCTTGGGGCTAAGTGCCATTGTGCTCACCCTATATGAAGGAATACAATCTCCCATTTGCAAAGGTCTTTAGCTCTGAGAAAGATGGAAACACCGACAGAGTGTGAGTAGAGTCAGGAAGGACCTGAGGAC